TTAACGAGGGGGATGAGGGGGTGCATGCATGCACTTTAATTGTGGTTTGCACTCAGCTGGAGGACCTCACTCAAGTTGCTGGAGAAGAAAGACAGAGAGGTAGGGAAAAAAGGTTCCAAAAACCAAAAATTAGGGCTGCCGGCAAGCAGTAACCAAAGAGGACAAGTCTAAACTGCGCCTGGAGGAGGACCTTTCTGACAAGCTCTGGATATACCTACCAAAAGCTGAGCCACATGTAGGGCAATGGCCTGCAGTGCTACAGCTCATCCAGGCAACCAAGTGCCCAGAAATGGCCAGTGCTGCCAGTCTGGGGTTGCCCCTGGAGACAGAGATTTTAAAAAAAACAACTCACTAAGTCATTAACAGAAGGTCTGTCCAGTCAGAGCACAGCTAAAACCAGCATGAATAATATGCAAAATGTTTATAAAATCTGGTTTTATTAATTTTTCTTTATTACAACATAATTTTTTCTCAAATAACAGAAGGATTTGACAGTGTTCAGTTCATTACATATTAGACTCAAAATGACATATTTTTAAAAATAAAATTCTCAGTATACAAGGAAAATACCAACAGAATTTGCAAAGCCACTGTAGTTCACAAGTACAGGAGCTAAGGTTGTAATGAATCATGTAGGAAATTTGTCATTACAGGTAGAAGAAAAACTACATGAATTGGTTAGGGTTTTAATCACAAACCTCAGATTTTTTTTCTTTAAAATAGATGCATCATTATGAAAAACAATCATCACTACAAAGAGGCACATGGTGTTTAGTTGATGGCATTAATTCTGTAACCCAAACAAGGAAACTAATCCACTTTGAGTAGTTAAATTATTTTTGCACTATTTACATGCTTTACTGAAGTATTTTCATTCCAGAGCCTCAGCAAGCATCTTAGAATATTAATGAGTGAAGCCTGGCAGCACTCCAGTGTCAGCAAATAAGAAAGCAACATCATTCCCATTGTATCAACAGGGAAACTGAGGCACCGGGAATATTCAGATCCAGGTAATCGCAGAAAGAAAAATCCTGGATCTTAATGCTCTTCGACAGGTCTTGATGGAGAGGCTGTTCTTCCTCCTTGTTAGATGGCTGGTGACCGTGCTGAGCACTGTTTGAAACCTGGTCAGTTTGCTTTTTTTTTTTTTCATGTTTAAATTGCTGCAAAATAGGTGACATCTATCCAGCTACAGTGTCATTATGATCACCCTTACTCAAAAAAAAAAATCCATTAATGGTTTTCCTTTATTAGATCCAACAACAGCAACAGCAAGAAGTGCATCTTCAATCCCTCCAAAGACCTTTGGAAGGCTTCTCGTTATACCCCAAATACTGCAATTGTTCCCTTGATTTGTGCAAAGGTAAATACAGAAAACCAGTAGCTTTGAAAGACAGAATTGCATTATTTATAAAAAAGGTAAGTAAGAGCTACTGCACAAGAATGCTAAATGAAAATACATCTTTAAAGATAAAATGTCTATATGGATAGAATAACTGTACTCTCAGAAGCTGTAATTTAAATTTTTGGGCATTGGGAACATTCCTTTATCAATCAAGTATTTGAAATAATTTAGCTGAGAAATTCTCGGCCAGGACGTGGCCTTTATAAACCACCACAAAACGTTTCACATGTCCATAATCACAAGGATTTTACTTCCTGCACCAGCAAAATATCACACCATATCAATAAGGTTAGCTGAAAAGACCTTTAAAAATAACTCAGCGATGTTTGCTGAATGGCTAAAATGGAAATAAAAACATGTTGCAGATCTGAGGTAACTTGAATTTGCAAGTTAAGGAAAGCCTGAAAAGCCAATACTTGAACTTAGGATCCAGCATAAATCCAGCAATTTTAAGGCCATGAGGGAGTGTGCATGATTTATTCACAGGCATCTCACTGTTTAAGTTTTGGCAAATAAAACATGTTAGTGTGGGAATAAAAAGTCACGGACTGCTGCTGTCTGAGACCAGCGAGGAGCAGGCCAGGCAGCAGGGGACAGGACCGCTGGGAGTGCAGGCGACCCAGTGCCAGGACATACCCAGTTTCACCCATCGTGCCCCAGTGACAGATTCTGGCCAGCACTCAGCTGCTTGGAAGCTGTTTGGCCTCAGAAGCAGCCCCTCCCCACCCACATTCCCCATTGGAAAGAGACTGGATGCATGCTACACCATTATTAGCAGCATCATAAAATAAGCCTACAGGGCTTCGCTTTCTTTAGGGAAGTAGACAGACATAAATACTCTTCTTCTGTGGTTACTGCAGGGATCTCTGCCCCGGCATCCAAGCGGACTGACAAAATGATCCCATCAATCTGTCCTTGTGGTCCTGACCTAAAAGTGGCAATCCAAACTCTGCAGTGTGACCACAAATACTGCACAGTGATTTAAGTGGTTTTTCTTTTTCATAGCCTCTTTCAGCCCCAAAACCCTTCTGGAATATGCCCCATTTCTTCTACTTGATTGCTGCCAGCACCTACCAATGACTCCCAACACACAGCTTCCTTGCAGGCTAGGGAAAGATTGCACTATGGTTTTATTTAGCAATATGCCCTGGAAGCAGCGCTGGCTCTGGAAACTTTTGGGAAGTTCCCTCCTGTGGTTTGACAGAGCTCACCTATATCCCAGGAGGCATTCAACGATACCTCAGTCCCACTGCATTTAGGAGCTTCCAAAAAACCTGGGAGTACCCCAGTTTGGGATGGCGCTCAGATTGCAGAAAAGCCTCAAATACCAATAGGCAAAGCTGCAGCTGTTTGAACACAAACAGATCTGCCATGGGGGCTCCAGGGAGCCCCTGGTTAGAGGTCAGTCATCACCCACACAGACCCTGGAGAAACACTTTGCTTCCCTTGCATGAGACAGTCTCTGTGGGAACGTAGAACCTGCCAGAACCCCCTCTCTCACATGTCCCAAATGTCTCACCTGTGTTCTGCAAGATTATGCATTTCCCCTGTACCACATGGCACAGGAAGACATACAGGCTAAACATATAAACAGTGTTTAAAATAATGCAAATAAATATCCAGGTGCAAGAGGCTTTTAAGGTATCTACCACCCCCCACCCATTTTCTCACAATACATCAGACAAGGCAGGAGGCTTCTGGATGCTACTAGAGAAAAAGGCAAGGCTGAAGCTTCAGGGGAGTTACCGGGCTGATGAGTGTAGACTGCCATGTATAAATACAGAACCACACAGAGAGTTAAATTATATATATTAGTTTTATCTATATTTATATATATGGATAAATTAAGTATACACATGTGTGTGTAGATGCAGACACATATGCATTAATCTCAGCATTCCCTCTATTGAGAAACCTAGTAAAAGTCTCTGAAAATACACATCAATTATTTGGGGAATCTGACATATAAGCAATGTATTATGATTGGGTTTTTTTCATAGATATGCATTAAAATTCTCCATGCAGTCACACTTGTGGGAATAACAACATAGTTGCCTAAGCTGTAAACTATAAATATAGGCTTTAAAAATTCTCTGAAGAACAGGTATAGCCAGTATAACTAACTTCCAGGACAAACAGAAGTGATCAGAACAGAAAACTAGACTTGAACATGTGGCTCCAAAACATCTGTATTGCGGTACCACATGCAAGTGCACAGGACATCTCCAGTCCTCTCTGCCCCCCAAGTCCCTTTTAGGAGCTTTCTGTAATTGTGACAAGGGTTATGACTGAAACAATTTAATTGGCTTAACAAAAGCAGAGAATAATATTTTTGATAACAGATACAGTACAAGAAAAAGGTCATGTTACAAAATGTAAGAAAACTCCAATTTGGGAACAGTATGTTTTAGCTCTCCTCCCTAAGAAATTAGGGTGATCTTTTCAGTCCATCTGCATAATATTTTTCCCTATTCAGGTTTGTAAATATGATCTTTAAATGACTTTTTATAAAAATACAGTATAAGCCAATACATGCAATATCATGTTTTGTTTCAGGTAGATTAAAATTGAGAATGACACAATTGCATTTTTAACTAAAAGAAAGTTTCCAACTACAAACACAAGGATGGGTGATATGTTTTGGGGAATCAGTTAATATCCCATCTTTTCCATAAAACACATTCCTGTTGTAACATGATGAATTGCCTCAGTAGTACTGCGTCTTACTCTCCCCAGATCAGAACAGGTCTGCTAGCAGCAATGGAAGGTTTGGCATAGATGAAGCCTGAGAAAATTCAGGTTAGAGATACGTCACTGGTGTAAAGGCAGCATATCCAGGCTTGCAAGAACCGCAAAATTTAGGAAGAGTGTTAACTTGCACTTATATGTTACAGCATACCCTGTCTTACCATAGTTTCTTTTTCCATCCATCTTTACTTAGATCTTAATCCTGTGTGGTTTCAAGTACCTTCAAGCTTCTCCTCAGGCTTCTCTCTTGGTTCAAACCATTAGTTTTCAATGAACCAGACTGAACAACAGTCTGACTTAGAGCCTGAAAGTCAGCAGATGGCTACACACAGAAAATAGGAAAAAAACCCAACCAGAATACACTACAGAGGAGTTCCAGAATTGTAGCAGGGACCTATACAACATCAGAATTGTCATAAAGAAAGCATTTGATTTTTCTTTTGTGCGAACTGCATTGTACATGATGGAAGTGGTGCATAAACCACGAAGTTCCGTCTTCAAGTGACAGTATATATCTATTGTGAACCCTGCACAGCTGAACCTGCACAGGGTGCAGGTTGCACACACCCTGAACTTTGTCTCTCTAGACCAATACTCCAGAAAAATTCTAATCCCATTAAACCTCCTGAACATCAAAGTTGTATTTATAGAAATGAAAATGAAGGCAAAAGTTCACATGTCCACACACTGGTGGTACAGAAAAATAACCAAGTCCTCCTGTCTTAAACAAAAAAAACAACTGCTCAAAGAAAACATGGTCCAGATGATAAAGTGCAATTATTATTTCAGTTGTGCTAAAAAGCTTGCCAATGCCAAGTAGTTTTACTTCTTGGTGATTTTATTCAACTTTTAATTGTAGTGTTTTTTTGCTTCTGTCCCCATCTTTCCAGTACTGTTCAGTTTGCATTTCTGTAAGCCGTGAGACAGTACGCTGAAAGGCAAAGATTTCCTCTTCTCCTGTAAACATGGAGAGTCCTTTGGCGGAATCCTACATTAATACACAAAAACAGTACCACAAAACTGTGAGACACATAGCTGTACTGAAGTGCATCCTATCTAACTCCTTTGTGCTTTACAGGCTTTGACAATACAAGACAGCAGCACAGCACCAAAAAAATAAAATTAACATCCAAAAAGTAAAGAGAAACACCTATTTCAGCCAGGTAGTCCTCTGAAGGAACACAGCAAAACAAGAATTTGGATTTAAAACAACATGATGACATGTTAACCACCTATTTTCACTCTTCTGTTGAGTAACTGCAAAATGATTTAGACAAATAATTTAAAAAAATCATTAACAATAGGTTATAGGGAAAAGGAAAAACAGAATAAGTAACACGGAACATGGTACTGTTTGTGATGCAGTCCTATAGAGTCTAGGAAGAGTAAGAACAAACCATCTTTTAGTTGTAGAACAGACCATATTTTATTTCTGTATTTTAAATGTAGGAGCTAAACTGTCACGAGTATTTCCAGACATGTGTCCTGATTTCAGCCAGGGTAGAGTTAATTTTCTTCACAGAAGCTAGTGTGAGGCTGTGTTTTGGATTTGGGATGAGAAAGCGTTGATAATGTGCTGATGTTTTGAGTTGCTGCTGAGCAGTCAAGGACAGTCCAGCTTCTCATGCTGGCCTGCCAGCAAGAAGGCTGGGGGTGCACGGGGAGCTAGGAGGGGACACAGCCAGGACCCAGGCTGGCCAAAGGGATATTCCATACCATATGGCAACATGCTCAGCATATAAAGCTGGGATGAAGAAGAAGGAAGGGAGAAATGTTCAGAGTGATGGTGTTTGTCTTTCCGAGTGACTGTTAGGCGTGATGCAGCCCTGCTTCCATGGAGATGGCTGAACACCTGCCTGCCCAGGTGAATGAATTCCTTGTTTTGCTTTGCTTGTGTGCGTGGCTTTTTAAACTGTCTTTATCTCAACCCACGAGTTTCTCACTTTTACTCTTCTGATTCTCTCCCCCGTCCCACCGTGGGGGAGTGAGCAAGCAGCTGCGTGGGGCTTGGTTGCCGGCTGGGGCTAAACCACGACAACATGATTGAACAGATACAGTGATTAACAATCAAAATGACCCTAAAACTTCTGCAAAATGGTTCTATATATTGTGACATTTTCTTTGACTATGAATAACTAGCATAACATGCAATTATGAGAGTGACAGATACACTGCAGAAAAAGCAGCAAATCACTAGTGAAATGTTTACTTGATTCCTCTTCCTAAAATGCTGCTGTAATTATGAGACCAAAACCAATTTTGTTACAAAAGGGAGACGATGTTAATATCACGTACCTGGCTCAAGTCCAAATCATCCATCAACACTCTGTTGTCCTCTAGCTCACCACTGTCATGTTCTACCAGGAACAAGCTTTGGAGAGGAGTCACTGCAGAACAAATAATACGCACCTGAGAGAAGAAAAACAGGCAACAATATCATCACTTGGACTTTACAGAAAAGGGATAAAATAAGTGTTTTATGAAAAGTAGACTTCAAATTACAATCTTGTTTTCTTCCCAGGTATTTTCCCTTTCTCTTATTAGCACTGCTGTTACAGATTTACCTTAGTCATTTGGATGACTTTTGGATCATCCATTTGGATGGAGGATCTTTTCCTCAATAACAACTCATATAACTTTACTCAGAGAACAGCATAACTGCTATTAAATACTCAGAGTATCTGCTATACAGGCAATGAGTTCACAATCAAGTTTACTTTCTAAAATAAAGTATTAGTAACCAATGCTTTCTTTCCCCCCGTAGTTAGATTCTTCTGAGTAGGTAAGTGCACTGCACACATATTCCCATCTAAAGAATGTTTAAATTCCAAATTTCCCAGAAGGCCAAATGGAGCCACTCTTACTTTCCACCTATGCTACTAAAGTGCATGTTATTTGCTAATAACAGTAACAATGCTGTTTTCATGTCTGCTGGGAAGAGATACAATGTGCACTGAGATACAGCATCTCTGGGGGGCTGCAATGAAGACAGACTGAAATGTTATTACAGGAGGAGACACTTGTTGAGAGCGTGCAGGCAGAATGTTTGCAGCAGGGACAGGTCTCCACAAATAAGCACTCTCGGGTGGTTTTTCCAAACAACTACTTGTGACAGGAATTTAACACTTGTGGTTTTCCTATGGAGGAAGTTAGAAAGCAGCTGTTTGCTTGCAATTCTTAATGACAGCATGTAGATAGAGCAGATCGCACATCCCCCCAATTTCTAACACACTATTATGGTTTATAAATATTAGCATATCCTCTTAGAAACTGTCCATTTCCGAATCATAAAGCACAAAGAATCTGGCTGACTCAAATGAAACTACTCATACTCTTCATTAGTTCAATACCTTGCTTGAACCAGGGCCTTTCTGATAATCTTGCCAGGACATCCTTGAAAAAAAAAATCTCAATCGATATTTCCTGATTGCATAAATATTTAAGTGTGTGCATATATCACACATAAGATAGGGTTTCATATCTTGTATTACTTTAAAAAAATAATCTTAAACGTGAACTTCTCTTTGTTTTAGTAATGCTGATTTTGCTTCCATGATTGAAACCTCTGTAAATGCACATGAAGTGCTGCATTTATCACTACTATTCCATTAGCAGTTCTGCAACCTAATGTAAAGCCTACAGTGACTGTTTCCTTTAAACTTAATAATGTAACTATACTATTAACTTCTCAGTACCCTGTTCAGGAAGGCAGTGATTCCTGACCAACTGCCCATACAGATTAAAATTTTAAAAATTTAAATTTACTCCAGCACAGTTGGCAGCACAATTTTTCATTATTAAAATGATGACATGGCTTCTGTGGTTTTTCTGGGTTAGGAATGAAATAACATCCCGATTCAAGAAAGGCAAATGAACTCAGGCTTGTATTTATGGTCATGCTTAACATCCACAGAAATAAAAAAAATAAATACCTGCTTATTTGCCTTTATTGCAACAGGGCCTTTTTTGTAAGCTGGAATGATGTTTCTTTGCAGTGCTAGTTCATTCTGCTTATGTTTCCCAAATCACTACTACAGAAAGCCTTACTTCAAACCAATTCTAACAGTCCGGTTTTAGGCTCCCAGTATTATTCCTATATGTATAGGACAGGCTTGGTTCTCACCTTATGCTCATAAAAGGTATCAATAAGAGTAATGAAACGACGAGCTTGTGTCCTTTTTGCCATTGTAAGAAGTGGTATGTCACGAACAAAGACAGTGTCAAAATGCTTTGATATTTCCAAATAGTCACTGGCCCCAAGAGGCTGAAACAAAACAAACCATAAGAAAAGGAAACCCATGACAGAATGATACATAAACACTGTATCTTGAAATACTACAATTACAGAAAAGAGGGTGTAAAGTCCTGATCATATTCTTATCTCTTCATATCTTGCTTCAGGAATGCTTGTTTGCCCTTACTGACATTAGGTATATATGGGTGTGCATTCACACTGTCGGCTTTACTTGAACAGTGTTTGATAATTACAAGTGTGGCTCTTCTGCATCCTGCAATGTTATGATCTCTCTGACAACCTCAAACAAAATAATCACTATAAACCATAATCCATAGAAGAAAATAAAAAACATGGTTAATCTATGAAGTCAACACAAAGCATAAATAATTTTAAGAGCTCTTAGGATGCTTTCCAGCAGCAAGATTTTTAAACACAAATTCATAGGCTGGTTACTAAATCACAAGTTCACCCAAGACTAACCCAGACTGAATAAAAATCTCATGTTCTAAGTACTGAAAGCAACAGGAAATAGATAAAAATACAGTTTTGTAACAGTTCCTTTGTCATGGTTCCACCTGTAATGATGAAATAAAAATCTGTAAGATCTTATTAGTTTCTATTTGTGTATCTAAACCATCAACAGAAGATACACACAAATAGTAGTAGTTCATTCAAGTATACAGTCAAATCAATTAATTGGAAATTACTTTTTCATTACATGGAAGGTAATTTTTTTCTGCAAGATCTACTCTATTAGTACTGCAGGCTGTACTTTATCTTGAGCTATTAAGTCATCATGTTCAGGAGAAAAACTCATACTCCTGAAACTTGTCCCATTAGTTTTACTTGTGTGAGTAGTTCAGTATCTTGGACGCAACTACTCCATAGAGTAAGGTCAGCAGCATTTTGCATGATAATGTCACAATTCTCTTCCCAGCTAATCAAACGTGCTGTACCAACAGTATAATATGGTTATAAAGCACTGCAATACTCCAGTATCTTAAAAACAGGAAATAAAATATTTTCTCTAACTGAAATTGCTAGACAAATTTGCTGTAGGCCAAGCATAACTGTTTAACTATAACCCTTCTGGCAAGTAGTTATTTTGAGCAATTATTAATGGCTGTCCATGACCGGGACTTTGGGTTTTATTTAGACACAAGAATGAAAAACCTGTAGAAATCGTCAATATGCAAGCACAGGAGAGTGAAGCCCTCATGGCATACCAAAAATTCTTCTGAAAATTAGTGGGAATAAGCTAGAGCTTCTGACCAGCTAACCCCCGAGGCTGGTATTAAAAGTCTCTGACTCTAAGCCAGTTCTCCCATTTGCAGTCTCATGAATCACTCTGCTTTCCCATTCACAACCAGGCAACTTCCCTGTGGCATCTACAGAAAAAGAATTACTGCAAAAACTTTCAAATGTTTTTAGCAGTGTTTGAGAGCCGTATATACTATATCCTCTCCTCAAAGTTACATACACTGTTTATTTGCTCCCTCCATTTCAGCTCCCTAGCCACTATTATGGCTTCTTAACCAGAACCCAAGAAACTAACCATCATGAGGGCCACCAGCAACGGCTTCATCCATCACCTCTGAAAAATCTGATCTGAACAAAGAGTAGCTGAACTTGAAACATTCTGATGAAATAAAGCATGAAAAGGTTAAAGAAAGTGAAAGCAACTGGTGGATGGAAACATCACAGAGCTAGCCCACTGCACACCTCGCCATCAGGCACAAGTAATAGCCAGCTGGACAACAGTCATATCAAGTGCAAAAGAAAACAATGGAAGCACTAAAAGCAACACATACTAGGATGCTGCTGGAGATTTTAAGATTGCAAACGGTTTGGGCAATGGTAATTTTTATTCCATACTTAGCACTGAAGTACTGTTAAGTACAGAGAAGATCAAGTATGCCTGTGTGCCGAGTACCTGAAAGGGACAACAGCAGTGATCTAATTGCCTGTGAGAAAGGTAATAATTTCTCATATCTGTCTCTAGGTAAGAAATTACAGACATCACTGCTATTCAAGTTCATTCTTTTACCACATGAAGAGCCCAAGCAGTCATTCTGCCAAAGCCCAAAACTCTGAGTTCTCCTGTCTCGCCCCAATGTGATGTACACTCTCACCCAAACCATATGAATACACCCTCCTAATTTCAAATACAAAATACCAAATATTAAAAGCTGATTCCTAAAATAAATTAATAAAAATTAAAGCCATTGAACTTGTGCAAAATCTACAAACTGAAGCACCCAACTGCAGAGCTATACATCTAAGAACTTGGTGGACACCTTGCGGATATCCAGACATGAAAATGAAAAACCTGGGGAGCTGTAGGGAGGAAACAGGTGGAGAACAAAAATAAGGCTAATGCATTTCAAATGGGAAGAAAAGAAGATGCAATACTTAAGAAAAGAAGATGCAATACTTTTGCTTTTTATACAGACATAAAACCACAGTTCACAGAGGGTTACAATATGCATCTGTATCACAGCCAAACAAGAATTCAATCTACTTCAGCAGTGCAAAAAGCAGGCAACTCAAAAATTCCTCTAAAGAAGGACATAAAAGGCAGATAATTTCAAGCTGTTTAACAAGAATTTCTGAAACACCTATGCCAGTGCTAAGTGATAATATTCCATAAATGTTGGCAGAAACGTGCCTTTGGAGACTGCAAAATCTTATGACCAGAAAGATCTGAGCCTAGCAGCCGTGAGTATTTTAATAGAGTAAGTTTGTACCTCCTTGCCAAGACTCCAGTCTGGTGAGATGCAACTGAAACTCTGAGTCAGCCAGTCTGTTGTTATATATGGCTCAGCTGACATCAGCTGTAGTTCTGTACGTAGAGGAGTTCTCAAACCCTCTCCTTCCAGAGTTTAGAAAGACGTAACTCTGGGGATGAACACAAAGCTTTTAATCTTGTTCTCAACATGACTTACTCTCATTTTGGACAAGTCCTTTAAATTCCTTCTGCAAAAGCCAGCAGCAAATTCGCAAATGCTCCGGGGACAGTTTAAAGCCCTTTTTGTATTCTTCTAACCTTGGTATTGGCCCAATTTCCATGCTGCCTGCAATTGCGTCAAAGCTTTTTTAACTCACCAGCTACACTCAAATGGTCCAAACGCAGGAGATGTAGGGGCACCCCGACAGCTTCTCAAGTCACATTCTCACTGGCCCGTTGCCCTTGCAAAACTGGTGTGAGGCTGGCACAGACACCCATGTACCAACTCTGTGCCACACGGGAAAGGGAGCCAGGGACAATGGGTTCAAGGCCAGATTATGCCACTGCTAGAGATTCTGGCTGTGCAGTCCATGTACAGAAGCTCCACTGAGGAGCAGATTTCTGCTGTTTCAGCAGCAAACAGCCCTCCCCTGCCCTTTACAGTACTGTCTACAGGCCCTTTTTCCTCACCTTGCAGCAAGTTCTGGCTGGGTCCTGACTGCCAACAATACAGGCTTGGAACAAGATAACGAGACTAGTGGCAAATGATTTTAGATACTTACCACTGTCCTCTGTATAACTATCCGGGGCTGAAATTTATTTTATGAGCCTCAACCAGTCACACAAAGCATTCCATATTAGTCATTAGCATACATGAATGTATTACTTCCTCTGAAGTTGCTAATGAAGCTACAAATCCTCCTAATATTGACACGTATATATGTAATCCTCTTATTAAAAGTTCAGCCTGATTAATCTGGTCCTCTGAACAACATTCTAAGACTAACAACATGATTTGGTGTGTGTTTCTGGTACTGTCTGATCTATCTTTGTTTCATCAATTATTGATCAACTCAACTTCAGAACCGTAACATGTTTATGTAACAACTGTCACTTACCATTTGTTACCAGGTCTTTCATATGCTGCAATATTATTTAAAAAAAAAAAAAAGTTAACAGATAAGAATCTTTCTTATGGTATTATTGTTCCTCTATGTATATAAAAGATAAAACTGTTGTAGATTTTTCTCATTAACTCTGATGCCAGGAGTTAGTATTTTATAGGCATCATACTAATGCAAAACGCATTAGCGCTAACATGAGCTACCCTCCTGACAAAGTGTTTACTCCACTTCAGCCTGCTTGACTGAATTCTCACCTTCATTTATTTTTGTTTCTCTGTCTACTTAATGCATTTTCAACTATCATCATCTCAGTTCAAGTAGGATGTTTATTATTTGGAGCTCTCTCTGGACTGTTTTAAGAGTTAGCCATCTCCCGTTTCTATTATATATTCCATTTAATTAAAGTATAAAGCATCCTTCTTTTTTGTTGACTCATCAATGACAAAGTAGCTCATCTTTCAGAGATTGTCTGAAGAATACAGAATGCTTTACATATGTTAGAAAAAGATATTGCATCTCAAGAGAAAATTTAGTTTTCTTTATGTTGGAAGATATACCAGGGCCAGCTCCAATAACATCCTCAAGAGTTGTGACTGACAATAACTACAATTTAGTGCAGACACTCGAACACTCCAAAACTTCCTAAAACCAAAATACAGTTTAAGACTAGATAATATTTACAACTTAGACATTAAGCAATAACAAAACGTGATAGAGCTCTTTCTGTTGTTTCCAAAGGAGCCACACTCTATCACTAGTACCGCTGATAAAATAGCACTGAGGTAATATTTCAAGATCATAATTCAAGAAAAGAACAGAAAAACCTAAGGCGTGATCCATGATGCAGCTGCATGTTGAAGTTTAAATAAAAAGGTAAGATAGTTAAGGCATGGCTAACTTGGTTTGAAATTCTGAAGACACTGATCTCAGTGGAGTCACCACCCCTGCAGTTATTTACAAGATGTGTAGATGTGCTTAGGGACACGGTTTAGTGGTGAACTTGGCAGGGTTAGGTTGGACGCGATCTTAAGGACCCTTTCCAACCTAAATGATTCTATGATTCTTACGGCAGTGCAAATCTATTGGAAAGCTCTGTAAGTTATAGGTAAAGATGAGAAGTTCATTTGAAGCATTATTAAACTGAGAATTTAATGAAAGCAGCAATTTCTTATCAA